AGAAGGCACAGACTTCCCATTATAATATCAGTAAGTACCAAGATGTGATGTACAGTAAGGTGACTACTACCAAACTGCTGCATAAGACACAGGACAGGCAGGGGCTAGGAGACTGCCTAAGAGTTCTCATTTTTTTCCTTTCTTTCGTTGTATCTGTATGGGCTGGTGGATGCTGACCAAGCTTACTGTGGTGATCTTTACAGTGTTTGTCAGTGAGGGCATCATCTATGCGTGAACTCATGCAGTAACGTCTGTCAATTATATCTCAATACGTCTGGAAGGAAAGATGAAGTAGAATAAATGGGAAAAACAGACCGCTGATGTTAAGTGTTTTGTCTTAAAATTTTTCTGCATTCTCCATCATTGTACTTGTCATACTGTATCAAAATACCTGTTTTGAAAGGCCATGGACTCAAGATTTTTGCATTTAGAGATGCCCTTTCAATCCCTTCCTCTTGTGCCGTTTTCTCTCATGGGTGCCCTCCTCCTTGTTCCTGAAGTGAGCAGGGCCATGGCACCCCCTCTCCCCTTTCACCTGGCTTCCAGGGCCTTCCTGGGCCTCCCTGCCCTTTGCAGCTATGCTGTGGGCCTGCTTCCCTGGCAGTGGGTTGAGGCAGACACCCCCCGGCTCCCTCCTGCCAGCAGGTGCTCTGCAGGGTGGCACCGAGTGCCCCCTCTTTCTGGCTGTCCTGCTTCCCCTCCTGCATCTCCATCTCACAGAGAGGTCAGCACCATCCACCAAATTGCCCACAGCCACGTCTAGACTCCGGCTCCATTAACTCCTCACCAGACCCCATCACATCTGCCTCCTTGGTGTCCCTCAGAGACACAGCCTGATCTCTCCACCCAGCGCCACCTGCTTGGGACCAACCCTGCATCTCTGGTGGGAGACCCCGGGGCTGCCACACAGTCACCTCCCTCCATCCCATCCCCTGCCATAGTGTAGACCATTTGTCCTCAGCACGAGTCTGATGGGGTCCTCAGTGGGTGTGCAGGCTAACGAGTCAGTGCCATGGATCAGATGCCACTCACGGTGCAGCAGCACAACCCCTGCTGTGGGGACGTGCAGGGCTAGCTTCCTGCATGGTACAGGGGCCTTGGGGCTCCACCTCATCCACTTGATTAAGTTAGCATCACCGAGCGTGGCCCCAATGCTGTGTGTCCCTGGAGTGAAGTGACACAGAGGCCATGGCATGGTCTCAACAAATGTTCAATCTGACTCGCTTGAAGGCTCCAGATTACCTTTCAGTTTATCAGAAATACAGGGAATAAAGAAATAAACCAAGTGGCCACAAGACAACAGTCAGACAGTCCGGAGTGTGGGACAGAATATGATGCTGTCTCCCAAAGACCCGGACTCTTCAGGAGGTCAGGAGGAGACTGGCGTGGCTCGAGATTAGGAGGGACCGTGGAGACCCGACCTCCAGGTGCGACAGGTGAACTCGGATGGCCCCCTGGAGGCCCCCTCAGTTCTGTGGACATCCTGGGGACATTCCAGTCCTGCGAACATGGCCAGGCTCCTGAACGTCAGCAGGGAATCCTTGTCCATCTTGTTAGGTGTGACATGCCGTGGGAAGGGTCCTAATGCTTCAGGGGAGCACCAGAGTGCTTGTGATGTCTGTGCTTCCTTCCAGGCAACTCAGGATACAAACAGGAGAGCCTTCCAAGTGCCCTCAAAAACAGGTACAGAGAAATGTGGGCTGTTGTCGAATCTACATTCACATAGTCTCTGGGTATTTACTGTACTATTTTCAACTTCTCTGTGTATCTGAACATTTATGACAATAGAGTGTTGGGGGTAAAATAAAATTCAAACCTCAGCCTGCAGCTCGAAGGACTGCAAATGTTCTGAGGCTTAGAGTATGTGGTCCTGCCTCAGCCCTCCCTGGCCCAGTGCCAAGGCCCTGCCCTGGGCCTCCATGCCCCACCCCTCCCTCAGGCCTGGAAGCAGGCTGCTGCTGTTTCTACCAGACCTTTGCCCGCACTGTTCTCTCCCTGAATGCCAATCTCCAGTCACACTCCTACACTGGGCAAGGGTGCCCCTCATATTTACCTCCGAAGCATTTACTTCTCAGAAATGCTTTGGGGCATTTAGACCTTAATTCCAGTAGCCCAGAAACAGCTGGATGGCAAATTACGCCCACAGTGCCCAGCATGTGCTCAGTCTGCCACGGGCGCTGCAGGAAGGCAGCACTGTTCACACGCGGCTAGGGTCTGTGGACAGAGGATTCCCAAAGCTCTGCATTCCTGGCTCTTGTGAAGACTAGGGCTGCCGTGGCGGTGGTTATGCACTGCCAGAGCTCCTGGAGCTGGGAGAGGAGCATCAGCATCTTCTCGAAGTGACTCAGGGCCCAGTCCTGCTCTGCATTGGGCAGAACATGCCTGGACTGGGGAGGAAGGCAGAAGGCTGTCGGATGCCTCTGCCTCTTCCGCGTTGCCTGGTGGAGACCGGCCCCCAGGCTTGGGGCAATGTCGAGGGTTTATTTGTGTTGCTGAGTGGAAGACAATTCCAGACAATATTTATCTGGTATGTCAGCCAAATAGAATATTGAGATCTTATTTGTATTGGTGGGCTAGCAGGTCAGCATGGGAGCAGAAGGAGATGTTTGCAGCTAGAGAGCTGGCAGCTGGGTGATGGAGGGATCGTGATGGAGGGATGGAGGGATGAGCTGATAGATTACAGACATGAATGTGGTGGTGTGCAACTCTGTATATTAACGCTGGATATTTAGGTTCCTGTAAAATGAAAGACTAACTTAACTACTGACTGGTGTCCTAGACCTCCAAATATCTGAGGGTCTGAAAAGCAACTGGTTTTCCAAAGATAATCGTTTTGCATGGATACCATTTCATAGTGGCCTATGTTCAGCCATATCCCAAGGATTTCCTGTTGGGATTTATGAGGCTCAAGAATGAAGTCATTGCATTTGGGCCTGTGTTTACTGTTGCTTTTGACATGTGAGAGGTGAGGCTTGTGTACACGATGGGGCTTGAGGTTCTGGGACCTGCAGCACTGCTCCAAGGCTGACACGTGTGTGCTGGTAAGTGGTAGGGGCCCAGCAGCAGGCAGGTGGGCCGATGGCGCCATCTCCCTCCCTCTTGTCGGCACAGAGCCAGAGCAGGTGATGTGGACAGGGCGGCTGACTCCACCGGCACCCCTGTGGCCCATGTGTGGCTGGTGGGGAGGGGCAAGGGTGGGGGAGGGCAGAGTCGGTCCACAGGTGGGGCAGGGGCGTTAGTTAGTGAGGACAGGGACAGCGAGGGCAGGGGGTGGGCTCCGAAGGGAAGGGAGGACGCGGGAGAGGTGGCTTAGAGAGTGTGATGGGCGTGGGCTCCGGTGCCCAGCTCTTCACCTGGACACCAACCTCAGGGAGGCTGGGGTGGTGCTGGATGTGGGCACCATTAAGGATCATCTACCTTTGAGTAAAGTGACAAGGGCGGGACTCACCCAATCCACAGAGGCCTTAAGAGCAAAAACACTGAGGTTTCACCAAGAAGGAGAAATCCCATCTGAGGCTGCAGTGCCCACACTGCCCATACTCGCCTGGGGCTGCCCGCCTGCCCGCTAGGTTTGGACTTGTCCGCCCCCACAAGCACGTGAGCCAGTTCCTTGGTGTGACTCTCGGAATGCCTGTGTGACTTTGTGTATCTATTTACCTCCTAGTGGCTCTGTTTCTCTAGACTGACGGGGTGGGGGTGCAGGAGTGAGGGGTCGAGGAGGAGCCTGCTCCAGCCTCCGGGCTGGGCGCTGAGCACACTGATGACCTGCCTGAGCTCGAGAGGTCTTCAGGGGACGTGCATTCTGCCCCTGGACACTCACCCCCTTTCTTGGCCCTGAACTTCCACACACGTCTCGCTTCTCTGGAACCTGCCTTTTCCAGATACATATATTTAGCAGCTGCCCCGGGGAGGGCACTTTCTGGGGTGTGGGATGTGTGCTAGACCGTGGGGATGTTTCAGTTCAAGGATGCAGTGTGAGGGGCTCCCCCCATTGCTTGCTTGGCTTGCTCACAGGGACCCAGTTCAGACGCTGGTGCCCAGGAGCCGTCTCCCAGCCTCGGTCAGTCTTAGGCCCCATCTGTGTTGGTCCCTCTGTTCTGGCATCCATCACCCTCTACTTTAGGTGGTGGTTCCTGTGTTTGCCTCCTTGGGTTGAGTGTGTGGGACCTTCTTCTAGAACTCTCCTGATGGATCCTGCAGTGCTCATTCTCCCCAGTGGACTTCAGGGCCAGTAACTACAGACTCCCGTCATTTACGTGTGCACTTCCTCCATGGAACCATGAGCCCCTAGGCAGCAGATCCTGGAGCTTATCTGTTGGACCGGTCAAGATGTGCTGGCCATGCTATGGTGACACATGACCCCGTGTGTCCCCACACAGCACACTTCTTGCCTTGCTCATGCTGTGTGTCCACCATGGGCTAACAGGGGACTTTGTTCATGTGACAGTCACTCAGTCACCCAGGTGGATGGAACAGCTGCTGTTGCAAACGCTGCCATCGCCATGGAGCAGGAATAGGCCGAGGAGGATGGCACTTTGGAGGTGGTAGGCTCTGGCCTCAAGGCAGACCTGTCCCTGTGCTGGCAGCTCCATGACCATGCCCAGAGGGATCAGGAAGTACATCCGACCATGTGCTCCAAAGTGGACAGCTGGGAATATATGCTGACCAGCATCAATATCTACCTATGTGGTTTGATCCTAGTGACTGGGGTAGTACCTGCAATTGCTAGGCATGTTAATCCATGAGCATCTCCAAAGCAGAAGCCGAGACAATTCATCTGGGTGACCCAAACATCTAGCAAAATGCCTGACACTTAATAAATGCCCCATCACTTCTCGAATAACTGATGACGCACATGTACTGGCCTCTTAGCTGCACTGAGGGCTTCTGAGATATAGCGACCACTTGCTGTGTCCAGTTGTGGGCAAGCACGTGGCCCCCGGTGTTCTAAGGGGCAGCTCTCATCCCTCTTGGCACTGAACTCCTGCTCTTCTCCCCAGAAGCTCCTGATGAGGGCTCAGCTGATTGAACTTCAGTTTTCATCTGTAAGGAGGGATGCCCCAAGACCGAAGTGCCCTGACTGTCCTGGCCACTGCCGGGCTGAGGCCACCCTGCTGGGGGTCTGATCCCACGCCCCGGGGTCTGCTGTGGAAACCCGGAGGTAGGCTGGGGATCCTGGTGGCAGGGGCAGCGGCTGGAACAAAGCCCGCCTGCGGGATGGCCTCTGACAGCAGAACTTCTCCAGGCTATGCAGGCCAGGAGTCAGAGATTAGGGTGCGGCAGGCTGGCCTGGCTCCCTCTGAGCTTTGGGAAAGGATCTTCTGGCCTCCAGCTTGTCATGTTGTCAGTAGCCCTCAGCACTTCCTGTGTGTCTCTGTGTCCAAACCTGCCTCTTCACATAAGGATGCACGTAGGGATTTAGGGCCCACACAAATCCAGCACAGCCTCAGCTTATCTGATCACATCTGCTTCCAAATCAGGTCACATTCACAGCTCTGGTGGACACCCATTCTGGGGGGACACTCTTCAGCCCGGTATGGGTGTTCATTCCCCAGGAGCAGAACAAAAGGTGCTTTCCTTCCCTTTCCCTCTAGTCTCCAGCCCACGGCCCAGTTCCCGTCTGAGAGCACTTCTCAGCCTCTGTCAGGACAGCTACAATATGCATCTGGGCAGAGGCTCCATGTGTTCCCTTGCTAAAGGCATCGAGTATCTAGAACCCTTCACATGTATTTTCTCCTTTGCCCTCAAACACATCAGCATGTGCACATCTAATCAACATCTTTTCAGAACTGTCGGCCCACGTTCAGTCCGTGCACGTCTGTGTCTGGGCAGGCACACAGACCTTTGCAGACTAGGGGCCCGCATGGGCGCTTGCCAGCTTCTTGGTCTTCCTGGTGGCTTGCCTGCTCATGGCTTGTCCCACAACGCTTCCTAATGCTCCCTAGTGGTCTGGAGCCAATGAAGATCTGGAACTGGTAGGGGAGCGATCCAGAAGCAAACGCCATGCGTTTACACAATACTGGAAAGAAAATTAAGTAGACCCTGGGAGCTGTGACTGTCACACTGTTCTTCTAACTTTTCTATTACATAAAAAACAATGCTCATCAAAAACATTTTAAATCTAGAAAGCTGCAGAATGAAGGTTAAAAATCATGGTTAACATACTGATGTTTTATTCCTAGCTCCCAGTGATTTTCTAGTGCTTCGTAATTTTAAAATCGAAAAAACAAGTGAGTATATGAAATAATCAATAAGCTACCCCTTGAAAAACTAGCTGGAACCTGCTGACAGTTAATCAAGGGCAGCAAAGGGATCAGATGGAAAAGTGTTGGAAGGGCCCAGAAGTGGTGTCCTGAGAACAGGAGAAAATACCAACTTAGGAGCAATTCTAGAACCTCAAAGATCTGGCCGCTAACCAGTACTTTGTACGCAAACAGGAAGTGATTCACTCACCCACGATTCACTTAGGAATAAAATTAATTATCCAAAAGTGAGTAGGAATCCAAAAACGCCTTTTGAGGCACCCAATCCAGGGCACCCAAGTCCATGTTCTTAAGTCTACGCATTTTGTCTTTCAGTCAGAGGTGACGCCCTTCTCATCCTCATCCTCACGGCTGGTTTTAGCTCATTTCCTGAACATTTCTAACAAGGCTGCTGTTAGACTCCATGGTCAGAAATCACACACTGGAGCAGAGGAACCCACTCACGGCTCCAGACTCTGCGGCCGTCAGAACACGGCAGAAGAGAAACCAGATTAAGAGAGCAAGAGAAAAAGAGAACCTCTCCAAGCAAAGCAGGGCCTGGGGCAGGAAGTGCCTTCCGCGCCTGCGCCGTCTTCTCAGAAGAGGCAGCAAAGGGGCCGGGAGGGGGGAGCTGCGCAGAGACTGTCTAGGAGAGCAGGGTAGGGCCACACACTCTCAAGAATTTGCTCCTTGAAGTTTAACCTTGTTTTATTGTTTTATTTCATTTTTAACAATTTTATTGAGCTATAGTTAATACCCCTTACAATTCACCCATTTAAACGGTACAATTCATCGTGTTTTGATATATTCACCTCCTTGTGCCACCAGCCCCACGATCTAATCTTAACAACATTTTTGGCCCCCTAAAGACCCCCAACATCCTTTCCATTAGCAGACATTTCCTGCTCTCCTACCCCAAGTCCTAGGCGACCACTAATCTAGTTTCTGTCTCTGTAGATATGCCTCTTCTAGACATTTCATATAAATGGAACCAACAACATACATAGTCTTTTGTGACTGGCTTCTTTCACTTAGTGTAATGCGCTCAAAACTTATCCAGGCATTGCACTTATCTGTTCCTCATTCCTTTTTATTGCCAAATAAAACCCCATTGAATGGATTTATCACCTTTTATTTATCTATTCATTCAGTGATAGAGATTTGGATTGTTTCTACTTTGGGGCTATTATGAGTAATATGAACACTTGCTTTCAAGTTTTTGTGTGGGTGTGTGTGTTCATTTCTCTTGGATAGGTATGTAGGAGTAGAATTGCTGGCGTGTATGGCAACCCTATATTTAACATTTTGAAGAACTGCCAAATCATTTTCCAAGTGGCTGCACCATTTCATGTTCTTTTGAGCAATATAGGCAGGTTCCAACTTTTCCACATCCTTGCTAACACTTGTTATTGTCTGTCTTTCTGATTAGAGCCATCCTAATGGGTATGAAGTAATATTTCATTGTGGCTTTGATTTGCATTTCTCTAATGACTGATGATGTTGAGAATCTTTTCATGTGCTTATTGGCTGTTTGTATACCTTCTTTGGAGCATATATTCTTAAATTCTTTGCTAACTTTTCAATTGGATTGTTTGTCTTTTTATTGTTGAGTTGCAAGAATTCTTTATATGTTTTGGATACAAGTCATATATGTGTCAGCTATATTATCCTATCCCACTTTGCAAGTTGTCTTTTCACTTTCTTGATGGCCTTGTTTGCAGCACAAGTTTTAATTGGATGAGGTACAATTTTTGTAGGTTTTCTTTTGTTACTTGTGCTTTTCGTGTCATACCTAATACTGTTGTCTAACCCAAAGTCATGAAGTACTTTGTACTCCATGAAGTAACAAAGTACTCCTGTACTTAGTTCAAAGAGTTTTATAGCTTTAGTTGTTAACATTTATGTCCATGATCCATCCATTTTGAGTTAATTTTTGTGTGTGGTTTGAAGTTGGAGTCCAACTTCCTTCTTTAGTATGTGGGCATCCAGTTGTCCCAACATCATTTGTGGAAGAGAATATTCTTGCCCCCGCTGAGTTGTCTTGGTATCCAATTGCCCTTAAATGTAATGGTTTATTTCTGGACTCTCAATTTAATTTCATTAAACTATATGTCTATGCTTATGCCAGTACCTTGCTTCCTTGGTTACTTGTAGTAAGTTATGAAACAGAGAAATAAGAATCCTCAAAGACTTTTTTGGACATTGTATCCAAAAGTTTAAAGAAAATTTGTTACAGAACAATCAAATGAGTGAGTTTCTCTTATCTAGGGAATTATGAGGCAATAATTCCCCCAATACTTGAGATTCCAGTGGTTTCGTATGTGCCTTCCAGCCGCGTCAGGCATTTATTACTGGGCTGTCATGTGGCAGGCGCTGTGCTGGGCACACTGTACAAATCTTGGTTTATGGTACAACACCCTGAGGTTCAGAGGGTGAAGTAAGCCTCCTAAGTCTGTGATACCCTTTGACATGTATATTTGGTCTCTGCCCCTGGCTCTTGACGTTGAGCTCCTAAATTCTTTAACATTTCCTGGGTGATATGAGTGTCTTTTGCTCTAATGAACTGATTCTTGGTGGGCTTCTGGTCAGTTGAAGGATGAAAGCTGGTCAGTGCAAGGTATGATTAGAAGCTTGGAGTTCCCAGTCCTGTGCCTCATCTTCTGAGGAAAGGAGAGGGCCTAGAGATTGAGTTTGCGATATATCATGCCTACGTGATGAGGCTGCCATAAAAACCTCTGAGCTATGGGGTGCAGGGAGTTTCTGAGTTGGTAAACACATCTACATGCCAAGAGAGTGACATAACCGACTCCACATGGACAGAAGCTCCTGGGTTTGGGAACCTTTTGGACCTTGCCTTATGTATGTCTTATCTGGCTGTTCATCTATATTCATTACAATATCCTTTATAATAAATCAGTAAATGTAAATGTTTCCCTGAGTTCTGCGAGCTGTTATAGAAAATTACTAAACTTGAGGAGGGGGTCACAGTACCCCCAATTTGTATCCAACTTGGACAAAAGTGTGGGTAACCTGGGCACCCACTGTTTATGACTGGCATCTGAAGTGGCAGCTGTCTTAAGGGATCAAACCCTTAGCCCAAGGAGCTGACATTCACTTTGGGTGGTTACTGTAAGAACTGAATTAAATTGTAGGATATCCAGTGGGCATCTATGGAAAACTGGAGAAATGCTTGGTGTGGAAAACCCACACACGTGATATCAGAAGGGTTGTGAGTAGAGGAACGGTTTCTGTGTAGGTCATGCAGCCGAGAAACATGGAGCTGGAGTCAGAAGCCTGTTTGTCTGACTCTAAACCTACACTCTTGGGCTGCTTTCCAGTGGACCGATACTGACCACCAGCAGTCATTGAGAGAGGCAAGATAGCATTCCACTGCTCAAAACTGTTAAACATTATTTTATTATAGCAAAATTTACATGACATAAAATTTACCATTTTTATCATTTTGAAGTACAACTCAGTGGCATTAAGTACATTCACATTGTTTGACAACCATTACCATCATGCATCTGCAGAATATTTTCATCTTCTCAAACTGAAATAATTTCTACTGACTTTCCATTATCTTCTCCCCCAAGACCCTGACAACCACCATTAATTCCCACCCCCAACATGAATAATACTTACTGAATATTCCCCATATTTATTGAGAGCTTCCTGTGAGCCAACCGTAGGAGATAATATTAACCCTCCCCCACAAATTCCTGCCCTCATAGAGCTTATATCTAGTAAAATAAACATCAGAAATTATAGGAAATTTTATCCTTTATTTGCAAATGATATTATATATTTAGAAAACTAAGGCTTTTGCTAAAATAAATAATAGAATTAAAATATTTAAGGAGGTGGCTAGAAGAAAAATTAATATACAAAAATTAACCGTATCTTCTCTTTTATAGTAGCAACTACTTTTGCTATGGGAATGAGAGAGAATACTGCCCAAAACATAAAATCCTTAGAAAGAATTTTATGGAAAAGGTTAAGACACACTCTAAGAAAGCTATAAAATATCTTTGTAGGATGTCAGTCAATTCTCATATAAAGGAAGACAGCACATATTTCTGATGAGGAATATCTAAGTCTTAAAGATACAAATCTTTGACAAATGTATATCTATATTTTATACATAACCAGATTTTGTACATATACAAATTATTTATATTGTTATTTATACTGTTTTTTATACTGTTTAATATACTGACCACAGTAATCAGTTTTATATGTTTATTTTATCACAGATGTGATGCAATTCCAAATATAATCCCAATGAATTGTATTTGAATTGGAAGACATTATTTTAAATGTCCTAAAGAAAAAGAATACACAAGAATTGCTAAGAAAACTTTAGGAAAAAGTATAGTACTGGCAGCTTGCTTTACTGGCTGGTAAAGCTTACTAGAAAGTTACAGTGACCAAACGGAATAGAATTGATGGGAAAAATGAAACAGATTAGTAAACTAGCACTAGGTCTCAACACATATGGAAAATTAATATATGATAAAGGATACATTTTAATGGAGTGGGACATATTGGCCTTGCAAAAACAAACAAGCAAACCTGTTAAATGAATGAAGTATTAGGAGGGTTTGCAAAACGGGCTCTCCATCCATTGCTGAGGGCAATGTGAACTAGCTATAAAATATATAAACTAGCTCTAAAAAGTCATCTGAGAGTATTTATTAAGATAAAAATGTTTATGTCTTTGTGTTAGCCTTCCTTCCTTTTAGGGACTATTCTTCAGAAACAAGAGTGCCAATAGATAAGGATATAATTACTGTTTCTGTGGCAAAATACTGGAAATGAGATGAATCCATCTGCAGGAGAATGGCTGGCCAAACTCTAATACAGTCATAACAGGGAATGTTGGGATATCATGAGCTCTTTAAGAACTGGGTGGAATTATATATCTCTGTATCCAAGAAAAAACCACTATGAATTGTTAAGGGAAGAAAATAAGTTTCAAAATAATACCTGTGAGATGACTCATTTCTCTGTGAAGGTAGGGAAGCCAGCCACATAGATCTGTGCCTATGTTTGACAATATGCTAGCCAGGACCGGTGGGTGCCTCTGGGCTGGGAATGAGGGTGGGGAGATGAGTCATTTATTCCTGATCCCTTATTCATGTGCTTTCTATGACTTGTTACAATCAGCACACCTACTTTAATCATTTAATAAAATCTAGTAAGGACCTCTCCACATGCACCTCAAACAAACAAAAAACTCAGTTCTCTGGAAAGTGAACTCAGGGGGCTGAAAGTCCCCTGCCTCTGGTGGCTGTGAGCAGGAGCCTGGGGGTGAGCAGGCGACTGGAGGGGATGCAGGTCTGCACTTTGTGCTGGAGCCAGAGATCTGGCTTGAGGGTGACAGACCCCATGCATTTTCACTTGTATTAACTTTTACATTTTATGTAGTTTTAGAGTTTCAGAAATGCTGCAAAAATGTATCGGAGCACTGTGTAACCTTCAACTGGCTTCCTGTGATCTCAACATCTTATGTAACTGTGGCATCTGTTGAGATTGAGAAATAGCATCAGCACCATGCTGTTAACTGAGCTACAAATTTTGGTCCAATCTCGCCGTTTCCCCAAGTGGCATTTAGCTCTTTCTCCTGAATCCCTACGAATCTGTGACAGGCTCTCCATCTCCTTGTCCTTCTTGACCCTGGTACTTTGGAAGAGCCCTGGTCAGATGTTTTATGGAATGTCCCTCAGTTTCGGTTTGTCAGACATTTTCTTGTGATTAGATGGAGAGGTGACCTGGGCAGTGGCATCCATGTGAGTTATTAGCCTGGTCATTTGGTTAGGGTAGTGTCTGCTGGATTTCTTAGTGAGGAAATGGCAAATACTATACACCAATTGTTATAAGGTTATAGGAAATAAAACATATAATAAGAAATTATCAGGTAAATGTAAATAGGAAACAGTTGACTTATCATTTTTTCTTCTGTGATTGATAAATATCTTGGAGGAGATACATCGAGACTGTTGCAAAGGTCCTTGTTCTCCACAGTCGGTGGGCCTTGTCTACAGCTGTGATTACCACCTTGCTCGCCTCATGATGATTTTGTATCTTCCTCATTTCTTCTGCATCTCTTAGTTGAATTTTTTTGAATCTCTTCTCCCATTTAGTTATTTATTCTATTATTTATTTATAACAGTTGGGACTCATGTATATTTATTTTACTCTGTGTGACCCAGACATCTTAGGACCTTTGCAGTAGGGATTCCTGAATGATCTTCTAGTAAGGAAAGAACATGTGAGTGATATGTTACATCAGGTTTATAGCAACATACCTCATCATGATGAAAATACAAAACTTTCTTTTAAATAATAAGGATAACTTTAAAATTATGAAAAATTCCTTGTCATAACTTTTTAACATAGCCTGTCATATCCCATCTAAGGGGAATCTATTCCAGGTCTTAGGCAAATAACCATCCAACTAGACTTTACCCTGGAGGGCTTAAGAAAACCTTGAAAATGACAAATGGGTTCTTTTCCTACCGAGCAGAAAACAACAAGGTGAGGGGCACACTTGGTCCTGCTCAGCCCCTGGAGTGGCAGTGCAGAGCCAGGAAGGAGTGTGGGCTGTGGGGTCAGGTGGTGACGCTCCTGCAGGGCCCTGTGCCCTCCTGCAAGGTGGGTGGCAGAGCAGCGACTGCTGTGGGTCGTGAGATCAGCTGAGTCTTACTGCCGAGGACGCACCCAGGAGAGCACTCCGTAAGTGACAAGGGCCCAGCGAGGGGCGGCTGTCAATTCCTCTATGGGCGTGATTCCCACCTAGGCTGCTGGGTCTGTGGCCTTCTCGTGTCCCCCCACCCTGGGGTTACCTTGGCCCGTCCGCCTGCGCTGCCCCCTTCCTTCCTGTACTCCAGTGCTGAGTGACCGTGTGTACTATGTGGGGCTAGTGGAAGGACACAGGCAGGCGAGATGGGTCTCCTCTCTCCCAGGGGCCACAGTCCAGCTAGGTGGCCACTTGCCGTTTGGTATTTTATGTTGTTAACACACAGAAGTCTCCCCATGTGACCAGAGGCCCCTTGGAGCTATGGTGGGATTTTACCCTATGTGTATTTTTTAATATTTTGAAACCTGTCCCTGCACCTTACACAGAGCTGGTCACTAAGTGTTTGTAATTGAGTAATTGGTTCCCTCTGGCCCAGTGCTGTTCAAGAGATACAAACAAGCCACAATCATTTTAAACATTCTTGTAGAAAATCTATAAAATTATGGTATGTATAAGTACATACTAAATAAAATTTAATTTAAACATATAAAAACACTCTAGTAGAAAAAATATACATGTAAAAAAATAAATAGGTGAAATTAATTTAAAAAATTTTGTTGTACTTTTTTAACCATTTTCAGTGAATAGCTCAATAGCATTAATTGTTTTCCCGCTGCAGCCATCACCACCATCCCTCTGCAGAGCTTTTTCTCTTTCTGAAACTCTGTTCCTGGTAAATAATAACTCTCCCTATCTGCTTCCTGCTTCGGCTACCCACCTCTAGTCTGCTGTCTGTCTGGAGGAGTGTGGCGACGCTGTCATGCAGGAGGAATCATACAATATATGTCCTTCTGTGACTGGCTCATCTCACTGAGCATTATGTCCTCACAGTTCATCTGTGTTTAGCAGGTGTCAGGACTTCCTCCCCTTTTAAGGCCTAATCATATCCCATTGTATAAATATACTGTATTTTCTTCATTCATCAGTTGATGTGAAGTTGATTTTAATATATTTACCCCCACCCATGCCACATAGTCATTTCAACATGTATCAATGTAAGTATTGTTAATGATGTGTTTTACGATGTTTGTTTTGCACTCTTTTTGGGGGCCAGTGTACACTGTACCCCTGGAGGACATCCCATTCAGGTGCACGTGGCCAAATGTGGCTGGCAGCGGCAGCATGGCACCGAGAGTCTGGGTT